GGCCCTCAGCAGCACAGCTCCCACTTGGAGCAGTTAGTCTCCTGCCGTGTGCGACTGTGTGTGTGAGCGTGTGTGTGTGTGTGTTTGCGTAGCTCAGGTCCCAGTTGGGTTAGAAAGACTAATGTTCCTAAAGGTGCATTTCGCTCTTTCCTCCACGTTTTTTATATCTTTGTTCTTTATGTTTTATTGAGACAGTTCGAGTGGAGGCAGGAAGTTGGCCAACAGGCCTACGGAGCAGGAGAGGACACCAGAGGAAACTTCTGCTCCAATGTCAACAGGAGGTCACGCTTCAGGAAAAGCACTGCTACCTATCCATCTTTAATTAATAGACCTTATTCAGCTGGGTGCCATCTGAGCACAAAAACATGGATGAGTTGGAAAAAAAACAGGAAGTGCTCCTGTCTCCTCCACTGATTCTCATGTTATGACAGTTGAAAAATGTACACTGACTCTTTTATGCTTTTGAGAGTAAGTCCAAGAACCTGTCTTCTTTGAAAAAAAAAAGATGTTTAATACTTATTTATAAAAACTGTGGTGGTTACTAAAAACAAGTTTTTTTGAGCCAAGAAATACACAAGCTTTCCAATTAGTTTCCTACTCACAAGTTAGTGAATTTAAATTGGATGATGGGGTTAAAACCAGTTTCCTATAAAGCCAGTTAGTTAGCAGGAGTTAACATTTTCCGAATTGATTGTATTGGCATTACAAGTCATAAAACATGGTGCTACAGTGGTTAGCACTGCCCCTTCATAGCAAGAGGGTTCCAGATTCAAACTGGCCGTTTGACTGGGGCCCTTCTGTGTGGAGTTTGCATGTTCCCCTGCCCCCCAGCTCTCTCCATCTTTTTGCCACAGTATAAAGACATGCAGGGTAGGTTAATTGGTGACTTTATTAGGTGTGAATATGACTGTGAATGGTTGTCTGTCTCTATGTGTATACCCTGTGATCATCTGGCGACCTGTCCAGGGTGTACACCCCCTCTTGCCCAATGTCAGCTGGGATATGCACATGGCTAATAATTATGCACAATGGTGTCATCGGACCTTCCTACAATGGCAAAGCCATGACCCACCCTACAGTGCTTTTGATTGCGGATTGCCTTTGCCATCTTGGGCTAGCGTAACTATAACCCCTTACCCTAGGCTGTCGAATCTTGCTGGCATCATGTCACTTTCCATGCAGCAGTGATGTTACGATGGTAGTGGGGTATTTATCCCTTGAGATAAAAAAAGAAGTTATTAGTGTTTCTTCATGGACTTACATGAGCAATTGTCAGATCAGAGGTCTGATGTTTGGAGCAGTCGAGTGGTGTAGCTGGTAGGTTACTGGATGTCGAAAGCGACAGCCATATATATATACACACAGATGCTCCCAATCAACCGGGGAAAGACGGTGTGAGACATAAGGAGGCAGGGCCGACAGATTGCAGGCCATCTTTGTAATTGCTGCGAGAGTGTGCATTTTCAGAGTATCAGGTCTTTGGAGTGATGGGGGTTTGTTTTCAAGATAGCAGGCTGTTGGAAAAATGTGAATTTTTGTCCAGTGGTACATTTCGCAATGATGGGCTTGAGAACAATAGCATGGCACTCAGTCAATGCTATCCAGCAAAGAATAAACAAGAGGTGTTGAAACAACATCTAATATAGCATCAAAATGATAAAGAGGGTGCTGAATCTACAAGGACAAGAGGATGAATGTTACACTGTAATGCTATCACTTTGGGGAAATCAATTCAGCAGTTTGTGGGCACCTCGACACCAAACAGCAGCTGCTAGCTGAACCTCTAACTGACCACTAGCCACAACAACAGCTTGTAACTTCAGTTTCTACAGCTTTATTTACTTGATGCCCTTCATTGAAGGAAGTAATCGAGATACACCACTTTTAATATACTGTGCTTAGTGTACCTTCTTTTAATTCAATTCATATGTATTTAGAAATGTTATCCCAGATGCCTGCCTGGCTCCATATTATCCATTCGCATTGACTGGACAGTTTCTGAGGAGGCTCAATATGCAGAGTGACGGATAGAGTAAAGATGGGAAACAGAGAACATGACCTGCATTTATTTATAAAGGTACAGTGAAAAATCAAGTTACCTTTAGAGATGTATGGTCATAATCCTACTAAGGTTCACATGTGCAACAGGAAAATTATTGTTATTGTTGAGCTCACCAGAGATGTGTATCTTTTTTTTTCATGAGTGATTAAAATGGGTCACAAGTTTGTGTTTTCCATTTTTAGGCCTCCACTACTTACTGCCAGTTTTCCTTTATACTCTAAATATGTTTAATTTCTCCAACACGTCTTCAGGCTACATCCGACAGCCCCTCTGGCACTCGTACCACCTAAGACTCAACAGGCAGCTTTTTATTACTTCAGCTATCAGTATTCACATGCCAGATTTCCATGGGGGCATCTTCGTCAGAGACCATTATATTGATAATTTGAGCCAGTTGATCGTCCAACCTCCGGTTCACCTTGGTCCAAAACCGCCCACTTAAATACACCACAGCAGTCTGCCCTCTCAGCTGATCTGTTTTCATCAATGTAAAATACAGAGATCATTAGACAGTTAAGCTATATCACAGATCCTTCTGCTTAGTGCAAGCATGTGCACGCATGTGAGTGTGTGACTGCACACGCATGCATACGTCCATCTATTTGTGCATATGTAAGTTCATTGGCGTATGAGTGTGCAAATGGTCATCTGCGTGTGTGCTAAATTGTGAGTGTGTAGGCGTAGGGGGAACCTGATCTGGTCTGTGTGGGAGGAACCAGTTCCTTTTTCCCCCCACTCTGCTGCTCAGACAGACGGCCTGCTAGAGAGATCAGACTCTCAGACTAACTGGACCAGAAGTCATTAGGACACACTAGACACACACCGCTTTTTTCAAAGCTATTGCTTCCTTTTAAAAAACCTTCCGCAGTAAGATTATCTACGTCTCATCGGCTCATAATAGTACTAAGATCTTTTAAACAAGACACACTGCGCTTTTCAAACCTTTGTCTCAGGAACCAGCGAGCAGCAGGGACCACTTACACTCAAACTGTGCCCTGAGATTTAGTCTTTTGTTTCCCTGTGTTACGTGCAGGGAGGAAAAAACCTGCTCTGGCACTTGAATTTAAAGGGCATTTCAAGCATAATATGCCAGAACTGCATTTTGTCTTTGGTATAAGCGATTCTCCAGGAAGGATTTTGCAACAATCTTTAGTTCATTATTTGGCTGCCATTCTTCTTCTTCTTCTTGCGAGACTTCATAAAGCACGCTATCAACTATGAAACTATATTTTTTCAGTCTTTCTTTGGTCCCAAATTTAAATCTACACCTTATCCCCTTCGTCACCTTTTTGAGTCATTTCATTAAAGTGAGTGTCCTTTACATGACATCACTCTTTGGAAAAGCCAGACACATTAACTCTAAAACCAACTGTGCAAGTGTCGGGTGCTGTTTATAGTTTTGAGGGTGTTTGTGAGATTACACACGCTATAAATCAGCTTTGTTTTTCAGGGCAGCTTCCACTAAAAACTGTGTTTTGGCAGTACGATCAAGTGACATTTGAATTTTTGTTGGTTGTTTTTCTTCACCGGGCACTTGTCACTTTGTAGGAAAAAGCTCCATAACTGGCACCTTGGTCGCAGAAACAGCTTGTTAGCATTGTTAAAAAATAATTTGGAAACACCAAACCGGTGCAGTACAGGGGTTAGCCTCCATTAAAAGAACGGCTCATTTACATTTCACTTAATGGTGGAAAATGGCATGAGAAACACGGCTGTTATGTGGTTTTAAAATGCTGAACTAGGACATTGTAGACTGGGTACAGACGACATTAATATATTCCAACTCTTTTAAGGCATTTTGGTAATAAAACCTATTATAACTAGTAGAGGAATCCTAGAAACGTACCAGCATGTCTTTCACATGATGCAACATTTTCAGGTAACCACAACTTTGGTTTCCCTGGAACTGGATTTTGCAAGTTTTGCAGCAGAACCAATGAGGCATAGACACACTGCATCTACTATTTTGCTGTCGTTAAACAGGTGATCATGACCCATAAAAAAACAGAGCACATGGCCCTTGCAGAATATCACACCTCACGGTCTCGGAAAAGTGTATGGCACAGGGAGAGAGAAGCTATAATGAAAAAAGTGACAATTTAAAAAAAGGAAGGGTAACATTCCACATTGCTAATGCCCTGATCATTTTCCATAAAGGCAAAGGAAAGAGTGCGACAGAGGAGCGAAGGATGGAAATTGTGAAAAAGGTAGTGAGAAAAGGGAAGAGGACAAGAAAAAGGAAGGAAGATTAGATAGATACATAGATAAAAAGAAAAAACGAGGTAAGGAGAGGCTAAGTGGTGCGTGGCTAAACACGCTGGAAAGCCATCACCAGCCAGACTCTGGCCAGTGGCACTCCAGGGAAAAGAGAGGAAGAGCAGAGGAGGAGAGGAGGAGAAAAGAGCATGTGGAAAGGTAAAGAAGAGGACAGCGAGGGGACACGGGCAGATGTCCAGGCAGCCATACCTGCAGATTCAATTCTGCTCCCCCCCTTTTTTTCTCTTCCACTCTCTTCTCCTCGCCTTTCGTCCGCTCCTCAAACCCCTCTTGTCCGCCTCATCTTCTAACCCTGTCTCTCTCTGTCTGCTCTGATCTTGGTGCCCCAGAAGAGAAGAAAGACAGCAAGAAAGAGGGAGTGTGTGAGAGAAGAGACAGCGAGACAGCCAAAAGTAAAATTAGGAATTAGGCTGATGTGAGCTACAGGTGTAGTCGCTATGGAACTTCCACTTATGCTCGCTGTGCTGCTTCTTTAGTGAAGGAATTTATTTCAAAATTATCTCTCCCTGAGCTGCCTGAATGAGCCAAAGTACCACCATTTGAATAGTTTCACAGTGGAAACTTTTATCATGTTTATTGGTTGGAACTGAGAAGGAAGAAGGATCTGAGAGGACGACTCGCTCAAAATACCACCAACATATGAATGAAATTTACCCCCAGATATACAAACAATTTATTGGTCATCTTGAGTTATTTTCCAGCATTAGGACATTTTCAGAGATGATTATTAGAAATAACCAATACAACTTAAGTTCCAGCATGTTTTTTGTGGGGTATTTTTTTTCCGTAATACCATAAATTGTGTCAATAGCCAATGTTTTGTACTTTTATACATTATTTGTCATCAATGTCAATGCCGGTTAAATAACATAGTTTCATTATATAATGCTATGTCACATAAATATACATTTATATTTCAGTTTACACATTAATAACACACAGCTTTCGATGAGTACAAATTTGTCTTTCATAGGTTCTGTGTGTTTTTCGATCATGTGCCAGAAGTTCCTTAGACTCAAAGAGTCACTGAGTCTTTGAACAATACAGTAAAAAGTCTCATATTAATGTTGTTGAAAGGTTCATCATGGTCTTGATAAGCGTCTGAAAGCCCTTTAAAAGTACTGTTAAACTTCTCAGAAGTGTTTCAAACATATTTGAAAACACCCTAAAAAGAACAAAAAGTTCTTGTAAAGTGATATAAAAGGTAAGAAAAAAAAGAAATGCTTGGTTAAGTTCCTTGAAAAGTCCTGGAAGTGCTAAAGAAGTCCTTCAAAAGTCTTTGAAATGCATCACAAGTCTGGCAAGTCTTCACGTTGCAGTAACTGTGAGATCACTGACAGCACTGTCAGAGTGACGAGCATTTCATCCATGTGGTTGTGTCCTCATTGTTAACTTCTGATGGCCGTCTTCCTGTCTCTGTCTTTGTTCTGCAAGAGAGAGAAACAACATCTCACATTATCAAGGATTCAACACTGAAATCAATCTAAAGGAACAGAACAGCTTAGCATAGCTTAGCACAGCATAGACAGCGGAACAGGGTTCCTCACATCTACCATTTCAAAGTTTCAGACTTTTTAAGACTCCTTGGTAGGTTTTTCAGACCATATTTAACATCTGAGTATAAATAGTAATATGTTCATCATGTAAATCGCTTTAAAAATTAACTGTTAACATGTATGTGACACCCTGACCATGTTAATTGCCATGAGATCGTAGCTACAGGTACTGTAGCTCACACAAATCAATTGACACTAAACTCAGACCAGTTCATCACTGCCTAAAGAGGACACAAACTAACCTGTGCTACCTATACTTAAATGATTCTCTCTTAATATATTGAATAAATAATATCATACTATTCTTTCTCCCATAATTATTTGTCTCTTTAATAAATAAGGACCATAAATTAGTTGAAAAAGGTTAAATGATTTCATTTTCATGGCGTCTGCACAGCTTTTTTTTCTCTTTCCAGTGGTGTAGTACTGTAGAATGTAGACATTCGGGGTATGTCCAGCCATAAAGGTTTCCTTACGCAGAAAAGATAGTCCCTGTACTTTTTTGATAACTACATCACTGCATAGATCATTATTTGGTCAAAGACATTTTCTTTTGAACTAATTGGGTCACGATGTCTGAACATGGTACAGTTGTAAGGTACTTTGAGCAGAGCTGTTTTACAGGCTCTGAAATACAGGTGTTGAAGCTGGTCTGTGTAGGAGTATGCGTTCAGTCACACGCCATAGTTTTTGCCTTGCATTCGACGACATCAAGCTCGCTCTGGCCCACATGCTCCCACACAGTGGTTCACACTTTGGCTGCACTGCTTGGATAATTAATTTACTTTTTAGAAATTCAGAAATTTCATATTTTGCAAAACAGAATTGTGACAGCAGTCTGGACACACAACTAATTTTCCATATTTCAACTTTTTCCGTATTTATCCAGACCTGGAAATTACTACAATTAAATTTCATACTTTCCAAAACTTCTATGGGAACCCTGCAATAGACAGAGGGGAACAGCTAGCTGCACATAAAGAGAAGGTCAGTTTCATTTTGACCTGCCAATATTGAGACATTTCCATCATCTGTTAGTTTGTGTTATTGTGAAACTTTGGTGTTTTAAAGTTTTACTTCAGATTCACTAGAGTCACATAATAACAAGTCCAAAGGAAGACTAGAGACTCATTCATGTGCTTCAACACACAACAAAAACAGCACGAGCAAACTAACTGATTGAGGCAGCGGTAGACCAGAAGTTCCTGTGTTCTGTGAGGTAAAATGACTGTTTTTGTGGCTTTAAAGAGAATGGTACAGCAGCTTCAGTTCCTCATTGGAAAGGGCTGTCTTAAGGCTCTTTTCTTGGTGGCTATAATAAGTTTTGCTTCTGCCCCCGTCTACAGCAGTACATTGCTTAGCTTCCTGCCTGCTACTCCAAACTGGGGGCGCTCTGACTGCCATCTACTGTAAGTAATACACTATGGATAAGTACCTCATACAACCCCATTTAAAATAAAATCTTAACTATTGCTTTAACATGTGTAGGACTGCTGTTTGATATCTTCATAGTGTCATGAAATGGCAATCCAGGAAAAAGTGTTGCATATTGTGGAAATAGATACTGTTTTACTGCAATCACTGGCATAGAGCTGTACTGTATGTACTTTACCAGCGTTCATAAAGTAAATCAAGCCTGACTGCATGCAGTAAACTCACACAAACACATTCTGTACAGTAGCATACATGCTGTACATTAATTGTGGTAGTAGCTGATTTTATTGCAGACTGAAGAGTGACATCATGAGCTGATGCATGACAGCCCTGCACGATGATATGTTTCTCATTTATCTGTGGTATCAGAACAGAGAGGCCTTGATTTCCTGGCTGGTGAGGAGACTTTCTCTATCTGGCCAGGAAAATAACATCACATTTTCCCTCCTCCACCTAACCTCTGCTCCACTCACTTCTCAGGCTCAAGCTGCAGTCAAGGGATTTAATCGAACACACCGCTGAGTGATATGCAACACACTTCACTCCCGTCTCACTAATTACTTTCAGGGCTGATGCTTGATTAACTCGTGGCTGGAAAACTATCTGAGGCTGTTATACCTTAATTTGGGGTCAACTTTCATATGTAAAAGAAATCCTCTCTATGTTCTTTTTGTAAGTGAAAACTTAATTTCATACGGTGGTTCTGGGGGAAAATTTTCACAGCAGCTTTTCTGCACTCCTGTCCTCTCCTGACTTTTATTTCCCCTTCTCATATCGTTTCGACTAACCCTCTCGGCCACCCCCTCTCGCCTTCCTCCCATCAGCCGAACACCTGTTACAAATTTCCTCTCAGACCGTGCACAAGGTGTAGGTGTTTGGAAAAATCTGCTTGACTGACATCAACAAAGGTGGGTAGGTGTTTGGAAGGATATCAGGCGGTAATGAGAGTGAGATCATAGGATTTGGACAGGAATTGGTCCTCCCACTGATTGAGGTGAGTGTGAGGAGACACAGGAACTATTATTGTCAATTCTTCCTCCAGCTGGAGCAGGAGGTCATTAATAGATTGCCATCATCATAGATGTGAACTATTACCATTTGTTTTTCATGTATGCAGGTACACTTCTTTTGGATGCATTTATAACCAGCTGCTTGTTATGAAGATTTCATTTTGTGTCTCATTTTGTTGTTTGGTGGTGTTTTATTGTTTATTTTCGGGGCTGTTCCTGGGTTCTGTGGCCCTCTGTTGAGAAATACTTCTGAAACAACAGTCCCGAAGATAGTATATTAGATATTAATAGTAGTCTTAAATCATTAAAGGGTCATTGGAGGTTTACCTACACCCTCTTTTGCACCAGTGGTCAATCATTATTCACCAAGGAATCTATCATCATAGCTGACCCAGAGAACCAGAATTTATTGCAGCCACAAGACTTGTTACCAATTAGGTTGTGTGTAAACTTAGAATTTATTATCAATATATCAAAAGTTTCATACTGAGCGTACCTTCAAAATAATTCAATCATAATGTATTTTATTTGTTCATAGCAACTGAAGCATTATTACACAGTTTTATAGTTATGAATATGCACTCACATGACATGACTTAAGGTAGAGAAAGATGGTAATCTTGGTTAAATTCAGGCACAAAAACACGTTTACTTTAGCAACATTTGACTGAAATCACATTCTTTTCCTAAACTTAAAAATTCTTTGTTGCCTGATACTGCATGACAAATACATAGTAAATAACTGTCATTTCTAGGGGACAGGACTGTATATAATGTACTCAAATTATCCCACCATGCATTACAAGAAGAAGGGAACACTCAGTGGTCACTAACGAAGACATTAAACCATCCTTCACAGACCAGGGAAAAAAAGGTGCACTTGGATGGATGGAATTGTCTCTACGACTTTTGAAAATGTTTCACATGCAGCCTGGAAAATGTGGCTTTGCTGTTTTTGTGCTTTCTACTAACAAAAACTATAAAACCAACAGCTGGATGAGACAAGTGCAGCCGTGCTCTCTGGTGTTTGCTGGAAGGCGCTGTGGAAAATTGGAGGCATTTATCGGTGGAAATTAAAGTACTCAAGGCAGGTTGGAGAAAGCGGGTGCGTGAAATAATCTCACTCAAAAACTGCGCATGACAACTGGATGATTCACCAAATTACATCAATTACTGTGGAATCAGCAAGAGTCAGCTCACTGAGCGCTAGGCAATACAGCTTAGGAATCCCAGCTGGAATTGGTGGAGGCGGTTCAGCTGCAGTCGAACTGGTTCAGTCAAAACAGGAGGAGGGGGGCTTTGAGACTGGCCTGGTAGTCAAAACAATCTCCTGAAGACTAATAGGGCATGGTCGGATGACATCTCTGCTCTCTCTCTCTCTCATACACACACACACACACACAGACATACCACTGACATCCCAGGGGGGTGATTTGTCCAACACTAATATGATTACCTGATGATGTTTACTTTAGATACGATATGATGGTATTAACACACTGGAACAATATTGTTGTTAAATCAAGGTGAAAGGAGTCTGTCTTAACTTTAATATGAAGACAGTGAACACTCTCTTCACGGCATCTTATCAACTTAAATTCAAACTTTAACAATGTTTTTCCGAAACTCAATCCGGGCTGTTCCTTTACCTATAACTGCAGATTTTCCATGCACTCTCTCACTCTTTTTTTCCTGTGTTAAGCCATTCTGTCAAATACAAACATCTAATTTAGTTTCTGGCTGCATGAAGAGAGGGATGACTGGTTGGAAAAAATAATTCCACTTGGGTACAGGCCCGACAATCGTATAAGAAGATTGGTATTCAACCATGAAATGAAAACTGGTAATATCCCTTTAGTTTATCGAGTGAAAGTATGTGAATATGTGTCAGTTCCCTGGAGTGTCCAGTAGAAGCTGTAATTAAATGATCATCGATTAGAGGGTCAGAGCCATGCATTAAAAAAGTGCAATAAATAGCACATCAGACTTTTAAATTAAGCTAACTAACACACCAAATAAGCCGCAGTCTGCCATTATGTGGCTTGGATGCATCAGACACGTACTTCATACTGACTGTGGTTTGCTAATAAGCATCCTGATGGCTTCTGAAAAACACTAGGTTTATCTTAGAGCGCCTAATCAGATGTAATTCGCACCAGCCGGCCACACATGCATTTAATTGTTCCCACATTTTAATAATCTGTTGTAATGGCTCCAGAACAAGCCCAACTTCATTTTCACCACTCTCAGATGACTTCATTCTGCTACATTATGCATCAACTAGCACTTTATCATCTGTGCTACGATGGGCACCCTGCAACAGCCAATATGTCATTAGCTTCAGTAGATATTGTTTTAAGAAACTGCACAATTCACACTGCCAATTTCTGCTTTTCTCTGTGTTCTAGATTTATTTTAGATTTGCTC